GGGAACAGGGATGGGCAGCACTGAGCACCGGGAACCGGGATGGGCAGCACTGAGCACCGGGAACGGACACTGAAAACTGGGCACTGAGCCCTGGGAATCAGGCACCGAGTACTGAGCACTGGACTCTGGGAACTGGGCCCTGAGCACTGGGTACTGAGCCGCGGGAACTGGGCACCGGGAGTCAAGCACAGGGAACCAGGCATGGGGGACCAGGATGGGCAACACTGAGCACCAGGCACCGGGCACTGAGCACTGGGCATGGGGTTGGGCAGCACCAGGCACAAGGCATCAGGCACCCGGCACTGGGATGGGCAGCACCAAACACTGGGATGGGCAGCACCAAGCCCTGGAGGAGGGCAGGTGGATGGGTCACAGACAGGGTTGGGTGCCCAGGACTGACAGCACAGAACAACCCAGGGCATCCTCTGCATCCTGGTGCATTTTTTTCCATGCTCACACGACATGGCTGGTGGTGGCCAAGCCCTGGGACCCGCCTTGAGGAACAGTGGGACAGGTCAGCATCCTCAGCACTTCCTTCTTTGTGCGGTTGAAGAGGAAGAAGAGGAGCCCACCGAGGATTCCCTTCTCCAGCAGCATGCCAAGCCACAGGAGGAGGAGGCTGGATGAAAGGTTCACACCTGCAGTGGGGACAGAGGATGTGAGCAACCAGGTCGCAAGGAAAGGCATTCCTGGCCCCAGAAGGAGCCTTTTCTGGGACTTTGAGCTTTCTCAGGGGGTTACACCATACAGCCACCCTGGCAGGCACCCCACCCAGCTTTGACGCACCACTATTTATCTGGGACCACTTGCTTGGTCCCTTCTGGCTGGTGATCCACAGGATGGCTGACTGGTTGACAGGAGCCTGATCATCATGTACCACCAGGCAGGTGAACACAGACCCATTCCTCTCCTCTGTTGCTTGCACCTCCACCTGGCTCCTCAGCTCCAACAAGCCCTGGTGCAACAGCGATGGCCGGGAGTCGTTCTGCACCTTCATCTTCATCCCATTCTCCAGCCAGGAAACAGCCACATTCGCTGGGTAAAAGCCCTTCACGTGGCAGGTGAATTTCACAGTCTTGTTCAGCTCAATGGGGCTCGTCTGGTCAGGGCTCACATCCACACTGGGGGAAACTGGGAAGAGAGGCAGCGCCTGGTGTCTGACATCCCTGGCTCTGCTGCCCGCAGGGTGCCCTGTCCCCACCCCATGACCCACTGTACCCACTCCAGGACCCCCAGCCCCACAGGAGCAGGACACCCCAGCACAAGTGCCCCAGCCCTCACCTCTCAGGACTCTGTTGAGCTGGTACATCCCCCGCAGCAGGGTCTCTGACGCAGAGTGCTGCACCTCACAGATGAGCCGTGAGGGGACGTCACCCTCCCCTAGGACCACTGTCACACTGCTGGACATGTTGTAGGATTTCTCCCGCCATTCAGTGACCTGGGGCAGCTGAGATGAGATGGGGGCCCTGTCCTTGAACCATTTCACGCTGATGTCTTTGGGAAAGAACCCTTCAGCCATGCAGTTGAAAGCCACTGATTGCCCCGGCCCCGCTCTCTGGTTGGGCCCAGACACGATCGGGGGGGAGGGTTGGGCTGTGCGGGAGATAAGCACAGGGTGTCAGACTTGTCCCCCTGCCCAGCCCCATGGTTTGCAGGGGCAGAGCATAGGGATGGCCCATGGCATCCTCTCCTGGGACCACCCCAAAGCCCCCTCCCCATCCATGCTCACCTAAGCAAAAGCCCACTGGGGCTGGCTGGCTCCCCCCAGGAGCTGCTCTGGGATCCCTCACTCACCAAGCACAGACACCTCTGTGCCAGTTCCACGCCGAAACACCTCATTCCCACCAGTCAGGGACTTGGTGAACTTCACGCAGTAATAGGTGCCGACATCCTCGGGCTGAACATCCCTGATGTGGATGGTGAAGTCTGTGTCGGATCCACTCACGGCTCTCGTCACACGGGGAGCAGAGCCTGTCTCTGCATAGATGGTCCTGTTCCCACTGCCCCAGCCCTTCAGCCACTTCACAGGACCAATTTCACTGTATCCAGAGATGGTGCAGTTCCCCCGCTTTCACCGACACTTTGTCCTGGGGCTGGTGCACCTTGAAGTCCTGACCCCCCTGGGCACCTGCACCTGAACACAGGCGCCAGGAGCAGGAGAGATGTTCCTGTTCCTTGCTGCTGGGGAGTGAGGGACAGGGAGAGCCTGGAGCTCCTGGGACAGGACTGGAGTTAACCAAACTCTTTGTCCAGGGATAAAAGCAGGTTGGAAGGGAGGCAGTGAGAGGAGAGCCTTGGATATCCCCAGGCACAGGGAAGGACTGCCCAGCCAGCAGTATGCAGAAGCATGCATTGGAAAAGCTCTGGGGCTGTGCGGGCCCCACTTACCCGGGGCTCTGCAGAGCAGGAGCAGCATCAGGCAGGTGAGAGGCAGCACCTCTGTTCCTGGAGCCATGGATATCCCCACGTCTCACTCCCTGATGTCTGGGCTTCTCTCAGCTCTGCTGGACTAGGCTCAACCTGACTCGGCTCAGCTGGACTGGACTCAGCTCAGCAGGGTGCTGCACGCACCCAGCAAAAGGGAAGGAAAGAGGCCACCAATGGCCCAGTTCCTCTGTGCAATCGTGTCCTCGTTGTTCCCCAGTGTTCTCATCACGAGGCTGGTCCAAAATGGTGATGTCCATCCCACTTTCCCCTCAGATATGTGCCAAAGCCACAGCCATGGCCACGGGCACTGGGCAGCCAGAGAGAGGGGCCCTGGTGCCTCACACTCTCCCACATGTGGCCCCAGCCTGTGGCTCAGCACCCCGGGGCGTCGGGGGAACACCCATCCTTTGCCAGCAGGATCGGGGGGCGGGGTGGTGTCTCCCATGGGTCGGTGGTGCAGAGCTGGGCCAGGGGCCCCGGTGCTCCGGCCCTGCACCGAACCGGGGAGGTCGCAGAGCCCGTCCGGCTCCCTGTTCGGAGTCCAGTGCAGCCCCTCGGGGCCGGGCGACCCGGGGGTGATGCCCGTCAGGGGTTATGCCCGTCAGGGGTGATGCCCGACGGGGCTGATGCCCGACGCGAGTGATGCGCGGCTCTGCCGGGCAGGCATCAAAGCGTTAACCACCCGCTCGCCTCCGTTTCCTGTCCTGCTTCTCCTTTTCCTTCCCAAAGTTTGGGCAGAGCCCATGGCCGCGGCGGCAGCTCCGCTCCAGTCCGGGCAGCGCAGCCCCGTTCAGCGGCAGCTCTCGGGTGAGTCGGAGTGGAGCCCCGAGCCCCCCGCTCCCTGCCCCGTCCCACACGGTCATTAATGCGAGCGGGCGCCAAAGATAAGCACCGGGCGGGGGGGTTCCTTCCGCGACCACCTTTTGGTGGCAAAGCGTCCCCGGGGCTGCAGAGCCCAGCTCCGGAGAAGAGCACAGCCGAGTCGAGCCCAGCCGAGCGGGTGCCGAGCACACCGGGGGATTTGGGCAGGAGAGGTCTGGGGGCAGGAGGGGTTTGGGAATGAAGGGGTTTGGGAAAAGGGGAGATTTGGGGACTGGAAGGGTTTTGGGGTGCAAGAGGGATTTGAGGACAAGGAGTGTGGGAGCTGTGCTGGACTCCGGGGCTGCACATCCCTGCCCAGAGCCAGCTCCTGGTTGGCTCCTGGCTGCGAACCCCAATTCCTCATGGAGCCCCAGTAATCCTGACTTGTATGGAACAGAGCCAGGGCGTTAACGTTTAACAGCACTCGGTTGTTTTTCCTGGCAGGAATTCCCCTTGGCTCCCTCTGTACCTCTCTGGCCTCCAGGCACCTGCAGCACCTCCTGCAAATGACACGACAGGGTGTAGATTTATCAAATCATGGAATCACAGAACCATTTAGCTTGGAAAAGATCTCAGAATCCTCAGGTCCAACCATTCCCCCAGCACTGCCAAGGCCATCACTAAACCATGTCCCCAACTGCCACATCTGTATGTCATTTAAATCCCTCCAGGGATGGTAACCCCACCACTGCCCTGGGCAACCTGCTCATTTTTCAGATTTGCCCCTTGTTCATTTTGAACTCGGCTTCCTCTCTCCCAGTGCCTGCACTTTGCCTGTACCACATCCCAGGATATCTCTCAGCTGCTCTGCCTGTGAGCCAGCCCTCGCCTCACCCCATCACTCACCCCCAAACCCTCCTGTTGCTGTGCCCAGGTACAGGTGCTCGGGGGGGTCAGGACTTCAAGCTGCACCAGCCCCAGGACAAGGTGTCGGTGACAGTGGGGAAGACGCTCACCCTGGGCTGCACCGTGTCTGGATCCAGTGAACCTGGTCCTGTGAAGTGGCTGAAGGGCTGGGGCAGTGGGAACAGGACCATCTATGCGGACACGGGCTCTGCTCCCCGTGTGACGAGAGCCGTGAGTGGATCCGACACAGACTTCACCATCCACATCAGGGATGTTCAGCCCGAGGATGTCGGCACCTATTACTGTGTGAAGTTCACCAAGTCCCTGACTGGTGAGGATGAGGTGTTTCGGCGTGGAACTGGCACAGAGGTGTCTGTGCTTGGTGAGTGCAGCCCAGCAGGATGCTGCTCCCAGGGACCCCATCCCACAGCCCCCACCCTACCTGCAGCAAGGTCCCACACTGCTCTGCACCCACCACCTTCTCCTGCTCTACCTCTGTCTCCACAGAGGCAGCTGTGGTTCCCAGCATGGTGGCTGCAGTTGTGGTGCTCTGCTTCCTCCTTGTCCTCGGCCTCCTCGTCGCCCTTTGCCTGTACAGGAGGAAGCGCCAAGGCAGGGTGGGCAGCCCGTGCCCAGCCAGGCCAGCAGCCGTGGGCAGCTTCCCACCCACCTCTCTGCAGTGCTGTGCAGGGACCCCCAGCACCCGCAGGTTTGTACCCACCACCTCTTCCTTCTGCACCCTGAGGTGAGCAAACTGCCTTATCCACCTGCTTTATGCTGGTTTTTTTTAACTCTCTGGAGCAATAATTTGCCCCAGAAAAGGTCCTTTACTGTGCTGTGCTGCTTCTCTCTGTGTTTCACAGAAGTGCCTGGTGGGGAGCACCCAGCACCAGGGAGCTCCCTGCAGCCCCTCACTGCGGTGTCTGAGCCCAGCCCAGGAGCACAGACAGCACGTTGTCCCTCTCTGCCTTCAGCATGGGCATCCTGCTGAAATTCGGGAGGGGAATTGAGGGAGGCTGTGCTGGGTGGGAGGGGACCCAGATTCCTTTAGTTCTAATGGTTGTCCTTCCCTCTGCAGTGAAGTTCTGGATGCAGAGAGCTCCCACCTGCCCAGCCAGGTAAGAGCGATCTGTGAATAGGGGGAAGTGCATCCCATTCCAATGCCCCGGCTTGCTGTAACTCTGCAAGTCTCTGGGACCAAGGGGGACCTCGGGTGGGCAGCAGCTGCCTGCATGTGGTCCCAGCACAGTCTGCACTGCAGCACGGGGCCACCTCTGCAGCCGTATCACCACCAGCCTGGCTTGAACCTGGTTCTTGGTGTTGCCCTGTGTGAGGCCAGGAGTTGGACTCGATGATCCCTGTGGGTCCCTTCCAACCCAGGGGATATCCTGTGATTCCGTGAAATAGGGTTGGGGTTATTTTTGCAAGATTTTTGCTGTGGCATCATCTCCCATTTGTGTGCACTTCTGCAGCAGAGCAGCAAGGAGGAGAACGACATCCACTACGCCGACCTGCAGGCCCTGCCCACGGCCCCCCGGCGCGGCAGGAGCGCGGGCACAGCCTGCACGGAGTACGCCAGCCTCAGGGTAGCTGCCAAGTGACGCATGGCACCACGGCCTGCGCGGCCAAGCCGTGGTGGGGAGGAAGCAGGGATGTTTCTGCAGGGCACAGTAAAGAAGAAGTGGAGCTGTTTACGTGGCGCACCCCGGTCTCAGCTCAGCGCGCCATTCTCAGAGCCAAGCTTCCTCCTGTTTATTCCCATCTCAGGGCTGGACCTGCTGTGCCAGGGCTGGGCAGCAGCTCTCCCAGGACCCAGCAGCCATCTCAACCACTGGATCAGACCACGAGGCCAAGCATCTCTGCGCTGTGCAAGGTGTTTGGTGCTGATGACGCCAGGGGGGCCTCATGCTTGCCTGTGCCCACCAGCACAGGCCTCCACTGGCACTTTCCCAGCTCACAGGTCCATAATTTGTGTTATCTTGTCACCACCCTCATTAAAGCCATCAAACAACCATGCTGTCCAGTTTTACTGTGCTCAGGGCAAGAGCAATAGCGCCAGTCCTGCAGGATCCTGGGGGGATCACATGAGGCCTTCAGAAACCCCCGTGGCGGGAGGGGCTGAGGCCAAAACGGGCTTTCCAGGCAGAGGAACCTGCTGCCACTGCTGCCTGTGACCTCAGAAGCTGCTGCACTTGCTAGTTTTCAGATTTATCTACTTTTTCCCATGAAATCAGAAAAGAGAAGTGAAACAAGACTGCGCAGCCCCGGGGAGTGTGGCTGGCAGGGAGATCCTCGTGAGGACAGAATTGTCACAGGGGGGAGAAGAGCTACAACGGAAATTTATTTGCATGACTGAATAAGAGTCCCCTCCTCTGGGGACGTGTCCTGGGGACAGTTTGGGGTCAGTTCTTTCTCAGAGACAGTTCGGGAACGCTCAGCACCCTGTGGGCATGGTGATGGGGGGTGGAGTTTGCCAGGGCAGGGATCCAGTGCCTGTCCTCAACCTGGCCCCCTCAGCATGGGGCTATGGGGTGGGAGTGCCAGACCGAAGCTTTCCCCAGTGCTGGATCCTCAGTGGAGCCATGACAATGCCACGGATCATTTCCCAGCCAAGGCAGTGGCTGCTCTGAGCAGGACAAGGGTTGCCCGGGCTCTGCACAGGGACGACACCAAAACTGGCGGAAATCTCACATCAAGGCTGTGAACAGGAATATTTAAAATATGTGGGTGAGACCGAAACCGGGGATAGACCTCGAGGACCAGGGGAAATGAAATTCAAGGGGATTTAGAGCTTTTTAAGTACTGGGCTGGATCAGGAGTGGGGAAATCCAGTTTGATAGGAGCATATGCAAAGCAGGGAGCGAGCAGAGCACGGTGGAGCGCTCTGCACCTAGGAAAGGGCCCAGGTCTGCGGCTTACTGCCCAGGGGAGGGATTTGGTGGTTATTAAAGGAAAATCCTTTAAGCCACCAGCCCGGGGTGTGCCGGCAGTGAAAGCACAAACAAGCGCCCGAGCACGGACACAAGGTAGGAGCTCGCTGGGGAGCACCTCGCTCGGGGGGCAGAGCCTCACTCAGGGGGCAGCACCTTCCTCAGGGGACAACACCTGGCTTGGGGGGCAACACCTCGCTTGGGGGCAGTGTCAGGCACTGCTGGGGTCATGGATTCACTGGGGTGTTTTCCTGGTGCCGCTGGTTGTCACATCCCACTGAGTCACCCGCTGGGTACTTGAGCAAGACGAGAGGGGTGTGTGGGAGGTCGGGAGCTGCCATGGCTGGGGGGCACAGGGCAACGCTGGGGTTTGAGGCTGGCACCCACCAGGCTCCTCTGCCACAGCCAGGGCTGAGTGAAGGTGGCAGAGGCTTCACTTCAGTATGGAGCTGAGGTGGTGCCTGGATGGGTGGTGGGAGAGGCTTGGTGTCCCAGGGGGGAGACCAAGCTCCAAACAGGTTTTGGACTGTGTCCTGCTGCTGAACCCTGTGCACGGACACCCCAGGGTGGTATTGTGCCAGGTTTAGCTGCGCTTTTCCTCTGCGTGATGTGTGAGCCCAGTGCCAGGACCCCATGGGATGGCAAAGTCAAGAAAAAGGGCTGGGCTGCACTGGGATGTGTGTCTGGGTGGCCAGGGGATGCTCAGGGACTGCTCCGACGGACCTCTGATCTGGGAGGTGGGAATTTTCTCCTGGAGGTGCCAGTGCCAGAGGGCTGTCAGGGCCTGCCAGGGTGGTGCTGTGTGCTGTGCTGTGCTGTGCTGTGCTGTACTGTGCTGGGGAGCCAGTGTGGGAGGCATGGGCTGTGCCAGGAGCCAAGGGGGAGCATGACAGAAAACATGGAATAACAGAGAGCAATTAGTCTGGAGAGAGTGGCTGATGGAGGGGGCTGGTCCTTGCAGCAAGGGGAGGGCAGCAGTAGTTTAATTAATGCTGAGGAAGAGTGTGGTCTCAGCTAGTGTGTGGGCTGGCTGAAACAGGGGGCTGCAGGCATTTCCCTGGTGTCCTGGGGGACAGGAGAGAGCTGACTGCACTCATGGGGAGTGGGACAATTCTTAGCTGTGCTGAAGCCAGGGCTGGGCAAGAAGAAAAAGGGAGAGACAGGGATAAATGCTTCATGCCCTGCCCTGGGATGCTCCGGCTCCACGATGAGCAGAGATCCTCCACGGTGGCAGTGTCTGTCACAGGAATAGGTGCCTGAGGGACATCATCTCCTGGAGCCAGTGTTGCTCCAACTGGTCCCCTCCAGTGGCTGACAGGGAAGTGGCTCCAGCCAAGGGCCTGGTTTGTGGCTCTCTCTGTCCAAGACACCCTTGCACCCCTGCTCTGTCCCCATCCCCATTTCCATCCCTGTCCTTTCCACCATGTAACTGTGGTGGGCACAAGCCCATCCCCAGGGAGAGACAGGCTGATCCATTTGCACACCAGCATCCCCCAAAAGTCCATGGGTCCAAGAGCATCTGATGTCACAGGAACCCCACAGGGCCCCCACAATGCCACAAGCACCCTGTGATGCCAGGGGAACCCTGTGCTACCAAAAGAACCAGGCAATGCCATGGGGATGGTGTGCCAGGACACAGCAGGGAGCAGCAGAAGGAGCTGAAGGAGCAGCCAGCTGCCTTGAGGGGCTTGGAGAGAAGGGAGAGGGTCTCGGAGACACTTTGATTGTCCCCAAAAAATGCCCCAAGGGTTTCGCTTATGCCCACTGTCATCCCTGGGCTGGGCTCCTGACAGGAGAGGGAACAGGAAGGAGAAGCTCTGGAATGTTGCACGGTCAGAACCTTCTCTCTCCGATTCCAAACCTGTTAGCTCACCCCTTTGCAGCTCCCGGTTTCTCAGGCTTTTCCTTGGAAAGGAACAAAGCCAAAGTAAAACGGTGACATGCTTTACACTGGTCCTGATTTATTTCACGTCTTACTACTGAATCTTATTCCCCGGTTTCACGGTTGTTGTGGATTTTCACCAAAGGGGATGAACAGGTCTGGGATTTGGGGTTGTCATAGGAACTGTTTCAGTGCCACAGCCTCACTGACAGCCTCGTCCCCTCCAGGGTTCCTGATGGAGTGAGGGCCCTCACCAGCCCAGTGGGGGTTTCTCCAGCCCCCCAGGCACAGTCCCAGTGACAGCCGGGGTATGAGGCGGCCACCCCAGAGCACTGGGACACCGGGGTGTTTGGGGAGGAGGTGGACTCCTGGGCACTGCCTGGCCCTGCCCACAAAGTGAACTGGGACCCCCAGACTGCAGTCCAGAGCTCTAAGTTGAGAAGAAGAGGAGGTGTTTGGAAGATGCTGCTTGTCCCTGTGGATTCTCTGGTGTCTAGTAGGAGGCTGTGCCATTGCAGTTATTGATAGTGGGAACCTCTCTGCCAGACCTGGAATCATTTTCATTTAATCCATGGAGCTGAAGGGGCTTGGGGTGGCTGGGGGGCTGCCCTCTGACCATTCCTCACCTCTTCTATCACAGGCAGAGGGGGCAGGCAGTGAAAATGAAAATGTCACATCCTTTGTACCCAACACTCCTTTGGCCCGTGCGGTCCTTCACTGTGGGACGCCATGAGGCCAAGACTGGCAGTGATTAAAAAGGGGTTTCCAGGGCCGTGGGACAAACAGGAACATCCAGTGCTTAAGAAAGACTCACTTTGTGCTTTCGATGTTGGACGGGACATTGGTCAGGGACAATCGCCCTCTGGAGCCAGCACGGGGAGGGCGGATCCAGCTGCAATGCTGGGTCTTGCCAGTGCCTGCGTGAGGGTTCCAGGGTGGGCAGGAGGGGCTTTCCTGCCTGCACTGGGGTGCCAAGGGCTCTTCATGCTGGATCAGCTGTTGGTGGCACACTGGAGTGGTCCTGGTGCCCCCCACAGCCACATGTACGTTGTACCCCTAGTGAGCTGTGCACGCTCCTGGGGACACTCCAGGGAGAAGTGCTCAGGGTAGGGAAAACCTTTGGAGAGCTCCCTGTCCCGAGGGCAGGATGTTGCGGGGTCCCTGGAGCTCCCCACTGCTCCAGGGAGCGACCTTAAAGTGCGGCTGTGCTTGGCCGTGGCCCCAGCGCTGGCAGCCCCTGAGCCCGGCACAAGTGTCCCTCCGCGGAGAAGTGCAGGGAAAGGGAAAAATATTGAGAGAGGCAGGAGAAGGGAGAAAGCAGGCGCTGCGGGAGGCAGCACGGCGCAGGCTGAAAGCTCCCTCTCAGCGGGCTTTTGTTCGCCCCGGACGTGCCCAGTGCTGCTGCCAGCCCGGAGGGGCTGTGCTGGCGCCGGTGGCTCCGGGCGATCCCGGAGCTCCGCAGCCTTGCCGGCGCCTCAGCCCAGCGACGTGCCCGTGGGCAGGATGCGGGGACCCCCATCACCCCGCCGGGCTCGGCCCCTCGTCGCCGGCCCTTGGGGGGGGGCAGCGCTCGGACCAACAGCGCGCTCCCGAAAATAATTCCTTCTGACAGATCCATTTCTTCCGCATGGTTCAGGCTTAATTTTATAATGGTATCAGTAGCTATGGCAACGTGTAAAAATAACGGATCCCCGAGCCCGGCAAATTCTCCGTAAACAGCTCCCGTCTCCCAGAGCCCGGCCGGGTGGGCATCACCCCTTGCCCACGGCTACCGCGGCCGCTGCAGTTAGTGGTTGGGTTGGGATTCACGCGATGACTAATTAGCAGCGTTAACTGCTTACGCTTTGGGATGATGATTCCATCAGCTAATCCTTGGGGCTAGGCTGAGCTAATTGGGTGGATATCGTTAACTCTGGCGGTCAGAGCTGCTGTTACAGGGCTGCAGCGCAGCGGAGGCTGGAGCATCTCTCCCGCGGTTCCATCCTGGCACCTCAGACCCAGCACGGGGCTGGCAGTCGTGGGGGGCCGGGCACGGCTCAGCCCCCGCGGTGTCACCGGGCCACCGGCCCCATGCACACCTACAGCCTGTCCCAGAGCCGTCCATCCACGCGTGTGCACACGTGTGAACACCCACACCAATGCAAATACACGCAGGACAGGTTTCCCACACGCAAGAACCCCCCTCAGCAGACAT